GACGCTTGGGACGCCGGGTGGAACACTTCACGTCGCAGCTTCTTGTACTGGGTACCCCAAGTTGTTCTCTTGGAGATGTGACCTGGCACTGTATCCAACAATGTCCACAGAAACGCAGATCCGAAGGAACTCCAAGACGGTTAAGTTCGATAACACACCGTCGATACTCTTTAAAGATAGTGGCGCAGTTCTCATGAGTTTTCCAGACTGTTTTCAAAGATTGGAGATGTCCAAACTGCACCCAGGCTATGGGTAGAATTGATTGTTACAGCTACTAACAAGAATAGTTGCCCCAACGTTCGTTCAAATCACAAGGGCATAATTTTAATTCCAATGGAATTTATTCTGTAAGCGCTTGTTTAATTGCACAAACTAATCCCGTTACGTGAGAGACAACCCCGCGAAGAGCAGGCTGAATTTCGTGCATACCGTTGTTGCATAGATTGAATACTCATCATTCGTCAGATGCTGGAACACAGCCACACACAAAAGCGACAAAGTATTGTCGTGGTTTTGGAAATCATGACAGCCCTCGGTTCCATCGATCACCCTGTCACGAGGACTTGTTTACTGAGAGACGGAGTACCCTAGCAATATGTTCTGATTCTGAAAGTATCAAACTGTCAAACCGCAGCGGTCAGACCGTGACATGACGTAGAGGTATGAAGAGGATAGCTTCAGATTTCGCTTCCTTTAGTGCAGCCCACCTTCCATATTGAGGTCACTGGTAAAAGGGGTTAGGAGATATGGTCGCGGAGTTAGCAGCATGCTTGTTCACAAACCGATGATATACATATGTCTAGCATCGAACCTCAGGGAAAATTAGTTATTATGCTGACGTTTCACCCCGTTTCCTGTCACCTATGATGTACGACACAGTTGTCTCTTAGTTTCTATTCAACTTTGTCATTGATGATGTCATACAAAAAGTGTTGTCCAATGAAACGAACTCTGGTGTTTAGTTTCTTCCTGGAGACAGAGTCGTAGCCCTGAAGTATGCCGATGATATTGCTTTACTCAGTGACAATCCACCGGCGATGCGAGATAAGCTAAGCCACTAAGTAATTGAGGTTGCTCAAGGTACAATATGTGTTTCACACCCTCAAAATGGAAGGTGCTAGGGCAAGATTGATAAAAACGTGTTCCGGCACTTTTGTGTGATAATGACACCCTGAAAGTGGTCGAACGTCTTCTCCATCTCGGGAGCTGCATAGAAGCAGGCGGAGTTCTGGGGGTGGAAATATTCCAGCGCACAGTCAAAGCAAGGTGATCGTTTGCCAATCTGCGATATCTGTAGAGTCGGTGTGAAATATCCCTTTCACTGAAAGGGTGCGTGTTATGTTAATTTACGGCTGCGAAACTTGGTCTCTCCGATTAGATCGTGTGCAACGGACGTATATTTTTTAAATTTCTTGTCTACAAACCATCCGTTGCCTATGACGGGATAATCACCTGAGTATCGATAAGGTCAGACGAAGTAGATTAGGGTCAGATAGCCTCTAATTGAGCAAACCATTCCCCTGCACCATTTGAGGTGGCTGGGCACATCATAAGATTCCCTAGACAATGTTTACCTTATCGTGTGCTATTTACAAACATTTAGCCAGACGCAAACAAAGCAAGGTGAGAAAGGTATGAGGAGAGTTGTAGAAATTCATTTCGGATCCGGCTTCGGTCGCGGCTTCCAGACTAGATCCCCACAAATTCAGATTGTCGTTGACCAACGACACTACGGGATTTGGCATTCGATCGAATTGGATGTTGTAAATACGTCCTTGAACGTTTTCAATCCGCTAAATAAAAAGACAAATAAGTTAAAATTGCGTGCAGCAAACAAGCACGAAAAATCTTTGGTCTCATAGGCAACACTTCTAACAGCATTTTGTCCAGATTCACAGATAAAAGATTGTGAACTTGAATGGAAAACTGCGAAAGTTTGTCCGCATAGAACTCCAAATTTATTGTCCTTTTATATCTTGGGTGCAAAACGCACATGAGAATTTTATCTCTCCCAATTACATATGTGCTACCTGCAACACAAACAATTGAAAGATATAAATATGGGTGTGGTTTGTAGCTCAGGTTGATGGTTTGTGGGGTCTTGTGTTCGCTGAGCTTGGCGTTTAGATCGCAAACATTTCATCACCAGCCGAGGTGACATCGTCAGTGCGTTGGTAATGATCCCTNAGGGATCATTACCAACGCACTGACGATGTCACCTCGGCTGGTGATGAAATGTTTGCGATCTAAACGCCAAGCTCAGCGAACACAAGACCCCACAATTGAAAGATATTCTTAAGAGCACCATTTTTAACTCTCAGAACTCATGGTTATACCGCACAATCCTAATGAATGATTCGCAAAATCCGCAGCTTTTTTCGTTCTCGTACATTAAAAAGCGAACTCGCTTCACATACCATTTCAGACCTCTTTGTTCATTACAGATGATCTTGTGCGGTAGCTTTCAATCTTTTGTCCCACTATACTTCTCTTATCCCACAACACTGCAACTTTAGAATCCGGATTATCAAACAACGTGATGATTGTGGACGCTGATGGGAACATTTTGAATTCGGACGAACAAAACCAGCTGTCCACTGCCCAGTCCGAATCGGATCGCACACGCCTACTCAAATCCAGTACCCGATCGATAGAATCCAAACAAATTGGATCCGGGTCAGAAACCCGAAATGGTACTGGTGTGGTGTTAGATACATTGAGTCGTGAGGATCTCTTGAAGAGGTTAGTTGACCTGATTTTCCGTCCTTATTGATTTTGAATAACTGTCATGCAGACTTCATATCCCTACAGTCTTCAGGTTATTGAACCCAGTGTATAAACTCCCGATAAAATCTGGATTCGAATTTCGCTCTTGTTAGAGTTCAACATCAGTATATCAGAGTTCGAAATCCGAACCCCTTGATATTAAATCTGTTAACAATGCGACAACCGCCGAACGGAATTACTGATTCAAGTATTTTTTCAAACATGGCGTTGGATGAAAACGACGTAGAGAGAAATTGGTTAAAAGGTTAGTAAATTCAGCACAGGTAGTTACGGTCTGATCCGAAACAACATTATTCGCTTATTTCATTTGAGAGCCCAATACGATCGACTGTAGGGGTGGTTGAGATTCGCAGACAGAATGAGAAGTCCGGATAACTGCATCCTGCAGCGCACTGCAGAGCATTTAATCTCCCAGTAAACTATCTGTCAGTTCTATAAAAAGCTATCCATGGTAAAACTGTGGATGCTCAATCCTCCGATCCTGGTACCATCGGCAAACCACGGAACATGGTAGGTCGAATTTAGATTTAATTTCAGATCCGGTCACTATAATTCAGTAAAAGGACTGCTATTTCCATTCGGCTTTTCATTTTTAGGTTTGAATCGTTTATCAGGTTATCTCATTAAATTACCTGTTTCCCAATGTGTGATTTTGTCGCCTGGCCATTAACACTTTATTAGCATGAACAATTTTGATGAGAAATTCAATCCGTTGTCTTTTAATTCCAATTAATTGGTACTCAACTCGCAGATCCAAGAAAGATGGGGTGTATTTTTTCGCTAAGACAACCTGAAGAATGTTATCCCTCCTGAGAGGGTGGTAAGGGCAATCAGTACATAATTGTGACTGATCGAATACGTGATTTGGGGGTTTGATATTTGCTACAGTCGACGTAGAAGTTCGATCAAAATGATAGCCTCTCGCTTAGCCTCCCCCAATGAATGCAGAAGAGGAAACACAATTGTATGACGGCATTCAGAGACGCGGATAGATATGGCTGAGAATAGACATCAGTGGCACAAATGTTAAACTGTCTGTCTGTCTGTCGAAATGAGGTGCCCCATGAATGCAAGTTAATTGTAGCCTCGTACACTCGGATGGGTGAATTTTCCGCATGAACACCATATTTGTGGATTAAAATTTACAAAATCCTTCATACTGAAACTGGAAGCAGTAGATATTGTGTTTGTCAATGAAGCACTATTCCGTGGAAATTTTCTCCTTGTCAATAAGCAGACTTGCTAGATATGGCAAAACATAATTGTGATAAGAAGAGGTACGTGCAAATAGAAGTTTAAATTTTGAGCGTGTGGATGATGTAGATACAGCATTTGAAAATTCGTTATGTAATGGGTGGTGAGTGTCTGATAGCATTTTGACAGTGAAATTCGCACATGCTTGTAGGTGTCTGTCTATGACAGAATGGGCGAGTTTATCCCTGACGATGCCACTACAATTAGAGATGTATTTCAGAGATCTCGCTAGCAAATAAAAGTCTTTCTCCAGTATACCGAGGAAAATCACTGGGGAGCAATACAACCAATGGGGGAACACGCATGCATTCACAAACCTAACAAGCAGCTTTTGCGGAACATAAAAGCAGACAAACAAACAAAAATGTCAGTAACATTTACGATGAAAGAACTCAAACACATTGCTTTTTTGATTCTTTTGGCTCTCTGTATTTGTTTTCTTTTGTATGTTATTCACCTCTGGGCCCTCTGTTAATCTCATTGTATGTGTGTATGAATAGTGTGATCAAGGTACGACACTCGTATAGGATTGCCTCCATAAATAGCTAGTTAGTTGTTCAGAGAACCGCTTTCTGATTCATTGTACAGTCTTTCATTCAGGTCTCGACTTGCCGTTGGTGTTGCGTGCGTGGTTCTGTGCGCAACATGACGAGTTCTGTAAGCACTGCGTCTACCCGTAGTTTTGTGATGGAAGCAAAAATCGTATAACCCCTTATAATCCGAGAGTACCATTGTTTCACTTGAACGATTTGTGCTCCGAATTCCAGGTTGAGATCCCTAGAATCGGGTATTGTTGGTGGTGAATTGGCATGGAATGCGGAAGCCCGAGCTAGGAGATCACGGAAACAGCGCTATGCAGAGGAACGAAAACGTCAGTTGGAACTAGCCAATGCCGCCTTGGAAGACGAAGGGATCATGGTTGGAATTTATGAAAATATTCAAGACGAATTGCGGATCAAAAACAAATTACTTCAACGCGAAAAACAAAAGGTACGTGGATTGGGGGGTGGTGATGCAGTGCCAGGATGTTTTTAGATTCCTATTGAGTTTGCTTTTGGCAACGGTACGTTCACATTTTCTCGATTACGTTTACTGAAACCTGTCCTGTCACTCAGATATAATGTAATTAGTCACTATCCTGCTGTATAATGAACCAAAGAATTGATTATGGCTACATGTAATGGAATTCGATTGCCAACTGAGAGAGATGGAAGAGATTGTCTTGTCAGATATTTGGCTCAGTTACTTGCGTTTGGTATTTTGTCATTATAAACGGTATTTTTGTCTGACCTCAGTTCGCCAGGTGACTCGTGCCAACTAAAACAAAATCAGCATTGTTGTTGTTGTTGTTTTTCTGCTTCTGTTTCTCCTCGTTCGTTTCATCTGCACCCAAGTTCTCCTATATTATTATTCTTGTCGTGTTGGCATTATGCTTGTTTGCATAATACATGCACGGTCATCTCCTAATTATTATTTTCTAATACTGCAAATGTAAAAATTAATTTACAAATACAGATCATCACTATCGATTGAGTGGTGGCTTTGAATCAGCGATGGTAAGAACCACATTTTGACTTTGGCCCTTTGGAATGACTATTTTATGGTCTTAGAATTACTCATGTATTGATACACATATAACTGTTCAATTACTTCAGATGTTTCTGGGGAAAATCTGCTTCTGAGTACATGGGTGTCATTGTTGAGTGATTAATTGGCTCAAATGTCATTCTCTGATAAAAATCAGTGCACTAATGCCAGAAAAAATAAATTTAAACTTCTAATAGGCAAATCTCAAATGACAGCAGTTTGTTTTTACTCTTACTTTTTTACTTTTACTGCTTCACTGTTTTTCCATCCTCTGTTCTGTTGAGTTTTGAATAAACTTTGATACGGTCACAACTTCATTAAATACCACTGCGTTCCCTCTGCTGCGTGTTTTGAACAGTTCCAAGCATTGAATGTATGTTTCCGAACTTTGGTCAGCAACCACGTCTAACGAACTTCAAAGGATTGATGCATTACAATGAGTCGGTCTACAGTTGTCACTTGCCACAGCAATCTGCTCAATACGAAATAAACTGGAAGAATTCATCCGAAATTGCATTGATTATCTTTTCCGAATTGGGAGCCTGAGGATTCTGACATTTGATGTGCTCGTTTTCTTTCATTTGTTCTTGATTTTCACTCCATAGATACATATTCTTTGCAAGCCATCTGAGCTAAGATAATAAGTTGATCCGTTGTAAGCTATTACAATCGTAATTTTGTGACTTTCAATTTGTTTTATCGATTGTTTTTTGTGTGCGACTCTAATCACACCTTGTATTTCCTTTGGCGATATCTTTCCTCCCGTCTCAAATCATCTTCGGTAACGCTGACCTTTCAACAACGTCTCAATCTCACATGCCCAACCAACTTTATTGCTTTATCTCGGAAAAGCTGAATCACACCCCTACTTGTTTTGCCCACCGTTTTATGTCTGTTCGCTGGTCGCATACAAGCAAACCGCGTGTTTCATAATTTGTTTCACTGGTATCGTCTTATCTGCAACGTATCTGCAACGCAGCGTGCCAAATGTCTTCTTTCCCTTCTCCGTAGATCATCTGTAACAGATTTTGAGTGCATCCTGACCCCAAAGCACTCTTCATTGTGGTTTTGCTTTGGGTCTCTGCTGTGAACTGGCTGCACGTTTCACGCTGAGACATGATTCCCCCTACAATAGTTACCAACTGGTAGTCACCACCTAGCGTCTAGTGAATGCAAGCAAACAGATATGGGATTTTGCGTCATGTTTGGTCAGCCCAGAACTAGCTACAGACGAGTAAGGGATGGAGTTTCTAATAATCGTCCAGTGCTTATATAGGGTTCTCAAAGTAACTGTTCCCTATAATCGCACTACTTCATTCTGGCTTTTTGCCACAATAGTTTGTGATTCGTCCCCCCCCCCCTATGTTACTCACTCTATAAAAACCTTGAAGGTACCATGTAGTTGTCACATTTAGCCTGCTAGTCACCATTGGTATCGCACCTGCACCTGTTTCAGATCAGCGTAGGGAATTCCGCGCGCTTCGCAT